ATAGAAAACCTCTGTTATTATTTTGATGTGTTCTTCTGCTGTTTTTTCACTAGGTTTTTAGACTTATAGATCAGAAAGTATATATTCTTTTCCTTTAAAAAATTATTACTTTATCTATGTAATTATATGCATGAGTTTCTTTTTGCATCACAGAGTTGTACCCTTAAGCTTTGCTAGGGGTTGCTTGTATGCTGTGCACGGGTTTTAGCACTTTCAACATTATCATTACTATTATTTTGCACACACCACAGTTTACAAACACGACACTGAGGCTTCTGCTTTCTGCTACTATCTTTATCTCCTTAGGGTCAGTTGGTCCCAAAAGAATGACTGAGCTAAAACGACACACAGAAGAATGAAAGTATTACAGGATTTCAAAACAAGGTGATGGGAAATCAACAATGGCTACCATAATGTCTGATTTTCTTCAAAATAGCTGACCTGCAATGCTTTCATTTGATTGATTTTGTTCTGTTTTGTTTTGTTTGATTTTCTTTTATGTGATGGTATGGACAGCTATTTTGAAGAAAATGAGAGACTATGTACCCATTGGTGATTTCCTGTTGTCTCATTTTCAAGTGCTGTATCGCTTGCATTGTTCTGTTCTGATTTGCTTTGTCCTATTTTGTTTTGTTTTATTCTCTTTAAAGTAAAAAATTTTATTGTGAATTTAAAAAGGACATACAAAATTTTAAAGTTTTTTGTATTTATTGTCTGTTCATTTGTTAAACTACAGCATTTTTTAATGATGCAGTTAAGGGGAAAAAGGCTTCAAATTCCTGTCATTAGCATTTTTAGTCTCTGTCAGGAACAGTGCATAGTGTTTTACCTGCCTCAATCTCATTTAATCCTTCCAACAACCTATTATGATCTGTTGTTATCCTTCCACTGTGTGTGAGTAAAGTTGAGTTTGAAGGAACTAAACAGTTATTACATGACTTCAAAAGTCAGGAGAAAATACAGTTTTCAGAAATCTAATAATTTTATGAAAAGTAGCATTTGACATTCCTTGAGCCTTGAACTAAGTGGGAACTAATCTTGAGATTTTTCTACTTGTAAATTTAAAAATATGTAGACTGTAAAAGAAGAGGGGAGGAAAAGAAAATATGCTCCTCTATCCTTCGTTTAGAAACGTGAGTAATCATCTAAGGGAAGTCCCTGGCAAGTAGGTCTTCATGTTAGAAGGCGCTGTGCTAGACAGCAGTACAGCTCTAGAGCATTTCTTCCACGAAGGTGTTTTCAGAGTGTCATAGTTTTGTTTTGTTGTTTGTTTGTTTTGTAAATGCAAACTGTGAATCAAACTGGTAATCAAACTGGTTACAAGCACTGGTTATATTGTGTATGCAAAGCACTGTGTACTTACCTAGTCAAAAGTTGACTCAAGAAATGTCTAAATGAACCAAACCAGAAGTAAGCCTTTAAATTTAAGCTTTTGAAATTTTAGCGATCTCCACAGTTCTTTGCAGCTTACCTTTCATAGTTGCTCACTACAGAGCTCCATGTTACTTTTGCCACTTTCACCCAGTTTTGTTTCTCATTATACTGTAAGACAATTATATTTGCTATTGAAAGCTCAGAAATAGCCACAGCAAAAGAAGAAAAATAAAGCTTGCTTGTGTTCATGCACCAATGAATGCTGTGTATGTCCTGGTCACTTTTGATTCACACTATCTGTACATTAGTAGGCATTTGCCCAATATTTGCCTGGTCAACTCTTAGACTCATCAACCCTGAGCGTGTAGCTCAGTAATGCAGCCCTTGCCTTGCAAGTGTGAGGTTCCAGTTTAGATTCCCAACACTAAACCAACAAACAAAACTGTTGAACCCTTTTTCTTCCCTTTGAAGGAAGATCTCAGGTACCATTCAGCGAAACAAAAACATTTGTAATTTCCTTTGCCATTTTCCCTCTATGATAAATCATGGAATTTATTAATTTATTGCTTTTTGCAAAAAGCAAACATCCTTCTTCTAATTTTTGTAACATTGTGGATTTTGACACTCCACCTCTGTCCTTGAGGTGGTTGCTGTTCTGCATTCTTCTGGATAACATTCCATTAGTTTTGATATAACCTCTGTATGTTTAACTAACTACTTGATTATTACTAGAATTGGTAATCGTAGTTTATCAAAGATCGCTTCTTTCCACTCTTTGGGTTTTACAAATCATTTGTTCTCTAGTCAAAGACATAAACCAGGCTTCTGGGTTCTATACACTTGATGCGGGTGAGGCCTGAAAAGGCCAATTTTCATTCTTTGCTTTCTTCCTCTTGGGCTCAAAACCCTTTTCACACAGACCCATGGGGATGAGTTTCCTCTTGGAGTCTTAAGCAAGTCCTTCCATGATTATGGAGATGGTCTTGTTGGCTGCTGAGACAATATATCTGCTGCCCAAAATTAAGGAAGGAAAGGTTTATATAGCTCACAGGTAATCGATGGCACATGGCAGAGGAGCAGCAGTTCATACAGGCAGAAGACAGCAAAAGCAAAACAGGAAAAAGGAGGGAGCGTGCAGAAAAGACTCTTCCATCCCTTATATTGTAAGTAGGCACACCCTAGGGTGGGTGTAACACTCACACCTATAATCACAGCATTGAACCGTGAACCAGTCACAAATTTTAGAAGCCTGCTCTGCCTGAGGCTTTGGGGGAACATCCAGACACAAATCATAACAGAGACTGGCGTTCCTACCTGAGGTGCCTTGCAGCAAGGGCCCGCGATCCCCCAACACCTGGGCCCTTCCCTATTCTGCTAGTGAGAGACTGTTCCAGCAAAGCCAAGAAAACACACAACCCCTGCTTGGGGTTGCTCCAATGCTTTGTTTCTCTTACTCCAATTTTCTTGAAACGCCTGAAATGCCTGCTGTAAGAACTTTGCTTTACCCGGAAGTGCTCCATCCTCTTCGATGAGGGGCATCCTGCAGGGAGAGGATGGGGTCTCCCTGTCTCCTTCAGCCACTTGGATTCCTTCCTGAGTGGGTGCAGGGCTGGGTCTTTCTTGGCTCTCTCTGTACCCAGGCACCGTCTCCTTATACAGGAAAGTGTGACTTGTGTACCTGCAGTCCTCCTGCTATCCACAGCAGCTCTTCAAATCTGCCATTCTGTCTTTACCTCACACTTTTATTTATGTGTATCTACAGGCCTGTCTTATTTGTGGCCTACTTCAAGGTATTTCTTTCCTAGCTGATGAAGCCTATAAACTTTGGAGCAGAGAATCCAAAGGCCCTGCAGCAGCCTCACCTTTGCAGCATGAATATATTCACCTAAAAAGGGGCTTTTAGAGGGTCAGTCTAGCTAATAGTTCTTCCAATGGTGTCACTTCTCTTTCCTCTTAAAAGGTCCCATCTGGTTCTTTTATTGTTTTATTCTTTAAGTGCATTCTGGTTAGACTATTTTAGTATAGTTCTTGTCTGCAAACCTGTCTTTTGGTTTTTAAGCATAGCCACCTATAGTCAAAGATTGTTTTTCTTTTTGTGATTTGTGTCTAATATGAATGGGACTAGATTCTAAATAATATAAAGTAATTCTAAATAATATAAAGTAGTTCTAAAATAAATAACTTGCATATATAGTGTAGCTAAATGTGTTTGTATGGTGTATAAAATACTGATATGAATCCTGGATATTGTGTAATTCAATTAGATTGGTATTTAGAATGTTTAGAATTTATCAAAATATTAATATAAGAAATAGACCAACAAAGGTTTACAGAACATCTACAATTAGTTTGATCTATGTTAAAATGGAATATGAAGCACACAAGGGCTACTGCTGGAGAAGGCAGAGCCAGATCCAACCCTCTACCTGTGAATCAGTTACACTAGCAGATGGGAGAGGGATGGACCAGGCCTCACCAGGAGGTGATACCTGCCTGGAAACGGATCATTTTCATTGTTTTGTTGGGTTGGGTTTTATTTTCTTTTGTTTTGTTTGATTACGTTAAATCTGATGGCAGGAGCAGCTATTTAAAAGACAGCAAGACAAATTATGGTACCATTTTGGATTTACTATTGGCTTGTTTTGAAGTCCTTTATTGCATTCAATGTTTTGTATTTATTGTTCTTATTCTATTCTATTCTGTTTGATTTTTTCACTATGTCTGAAGTATCTGCAGCTATTCTGAAGGCAACAAAAGGCATTGTGGTAATCATTGTTGATTTTGTGAAGTTGTACATCACTGACACTGGTTTATTTTGATTGGTTTTATTGTTTTATTTTTCTTGGTTTTATACTTTTTAAAATCAAAAACAATTAAGTACAATAAGAAAAAAAAGATTGGTATTTGGAGTCTCCTGTACGTTGACATTATGTTTGGGTATATCTGAGCCTCGGGGCAGGAAATTTTCCCTTTTTTAAAATGCGAAAATATTTTTTGAACTTTTTCTTAAATTTAATTGTCCAAAAATTAGTGCACAATATCAAAGAGAAGGAAAATATTAAGTCCTAGGACAACATCATAAACTGAAGCCTTTCTGCAGAGCCCCTAGGTTTAGATATTAGCAATGGGCTCTGAATTGTATTCTGACCTGCTGTTCCTGTGCATATCCCTATCGAGTGTGGGATCCCACTTGCCAGGATTACTTTTTTATAGCACAACTCAGTGGCCAGTGCCAATTAAGATGGAGCCTTGGGCATTACCACCAGCTGCACTGGGACTAAGGAAGGTGTTTCACACTGGATGGGCAGGCTCTAGGAAGTGCTCACGGCCCTGGGACAGCCTTGGAGACAAAGGTTCATGTGACACTTTCAAATATAAGAGGCGAATCAGATACCCTGAGGCAGGGCATTTTGGAGAGAATTCACTGCTAATTAGGACTTGCTTTCAACCTACCTTTTGAAAATATAAGGAACTGCCACCAATTTTTCTTTCTTTTGAAAGGAGGGAGTATTTTTATCACTGAATAAGTAGATGGTCCATTGGTCAACATGTTTGTTCTTTATTTCTTCATGTTTCACTCTTTTTCTTTTCCATTTTTTCTTTTTTCCTTCTCTCCCGGTCCACAGGCTTTGCAGCACATGCTGATCTCTCTTCAGGCAGAACTTGACATTCAGAGATACTTGATGAAAATCGAATCATCTCAGCGTGTTAGTACTCTACCTTTTCTTTTTCGACATTGAGCTGCAGCTCACCTTGCACCTTTGTACTCATCCGTGTGTGGTGTTCTAATCTGTCATTCTAATCTGTCATGGCGATAAAACCAGACCACCTGTCCTTTCCTGTTTGCCCTGAGCCCTGTTCAGAACTCTCCCATGCCAAGTGCCTGCAGCCTTGTGAAACGTGCCCTTTTAAATGGTGAGAGTTGGTACCAGAGTGAACGCTAATTGCATGCTCGCTTTGAAATATTTAATATACTTCTCACAAATGGGTTTGGGATAACAGCAAGTCAGGGACCTTTGCACAGTCATCTGAAAAATGGTCCACTGGACAAGAGACTCCATCCTCTTCAGTAAAGCAGAACCTGTGTCCTTCTAGCAGCCCCAGAGCCACAGAAGACTTACGTTTCTCAGCTTTAACACATTGAATACTGGGTCCAGATCACTTTTCTGGCAGACCCTGTAATAATGATGATAATGGGAATAAACACGTTTGTATAGAACTTGCCTTTCTAAGTACTTTACAGCAGCCATGGGGACTAGGCATGCAATGGTCCCCATTTGTTAATGCAACACAGAAAAGTTAAGTAACCAGCCCACGACCACATAGGTGATTATTGGCAGAGCCCATAGTTGACCTGACCCCAGTGTCAGCTTATTATTTATTTTCCCATAAACCTTAGTGCTTTCTGTTTTATATTGGATTAGCTTAGAATGTTAGACTGGGAGAAATGGGAGAGTCCCCAACCATTTGGCTTGATGTTGGTTCCTTGTGCCAGGTGACAGTGTGGCACAGGGCCACCCCATCCTTTCTGTCCCCCAATCATTTCCATTGTCTCCTGAATATGCACATTGGTCTTCATTGTGAAACCTGAAAAACCCTGTCCATAGGAACTGCCTCATTGTCTGGCCTTTGGACAAAGGTGACCTTCCCTCCTGGTCACTCTTCAATGACCTTGCTGACCTCTTCACCTTCCCTTTTTAAATAATCAGTCCCTTTGATTTTTTTTTTATAACAAGCTCAAGTTGCTGCCCAAATAGACATAAAAGTTGAATGTGGACTAAATGTACGAAAGAGAAATTGTGTCACAGTCCACAGCATCCCAATTCTGACAAGTGTTAGACCCTTAGTTTCTCCACCAATTATTGATTGTTTTCATATTTCTACAATCCATGCAAAACAGAGGCATCTTTATATTTTCTTGCACGTGTATTACACATTAAATAGAAATGCAGAAGGGAGAGAGAATGCCATGGGAGCCCTTGCTCAGCACTTCATGTAGTTGTTAACTGACTTTCCCATTTTTAGAACAGAGATTTGGTATTGTGTGGGATTTTTCCATCATAAATGGTCCAAAGTCTAAGGTCCCCTCCTATACTGTTTGTTACAGTGAGGAGGGAAACGGGGGACTGAACCCAGGGCCCTGTGCCTGCTAAGTGCACTCTAGCGTTCAGCTTCCCCTCCCCCAGAACCCCTTCTCATATTTTCTTAGACTTAAAACAAACCTTTGCTGCTGACTTTTCTTTGTTTCCCTTTGTATTTTTAATATATCAGCAGATAATTGAATCACCCTAATACCTTTCAAGATTTGGAGTTTTTGTGTGTTTCTAGACAAATTACAGCTACGTAGCATGATGGTTAAGGTTAGAAATGAAAACAGTCATTTTTTTCCTGAAGTGAATGAATGTGCAGTACTTTGTGGATGTCAAATGCTGTATTTTGAAATATGAAGTCACCCTCAACCTAGCTCCCAGGACCAAAGCCAGAGGTGACACATAAAGCACTGTTATACCTTTCTTGTGTCATGTGGGACCCATCAAACCTCCCTACTCTGGCGGAAGCCAAGCTGCCTAGCACTGCCATAATGAGAGGGTCACTTGTAAGGGTAGCTGAACGCTTTGTGTTGTTCATAGTTCACAGATTGCTGTCTTGTGCATTTTTTCCAGTTATCCTCACCGCAACTATATGCAGCAGGTATTCTGATTATTTTATTTTATTTATTGATATACACATTGTTTTTTGCAGTTCTGGGGATGGAACCCAGGGCTTTATACATGCTAGGCATGCTGCCACAAAACTACACCCTCAGCCCCTCTGATTATTTAATTAAAATAATCATCAAGGCTCAGATAAGTTTCATGTGGAGTTGCAAAACAGCATGAGTCATTATTTGAATCCATGTCCATAAAATAACGTGATAATAACAGCAAGCATGCCCTTAATTTTGTAAATTCTCTATTTCTCAAATAAATCCAGGTATTTTTAACATAGGACTAGAGGAAGAAAGGAATTTTTTTATTAGGAGAGCAAGTTAAAATTTTCATCAAGTATTTTTTCATTTGAAAATGACTGCTGTGAAATCGTTCAGGTGGTGGTGGTAGGGGTGAGTGTGTGTGTGTGTGTGTGTGTGTGTCTGTGCCTGTGTGTGCCTGGGTTTACAGTATGGGCTAGAAAGTAATAACCAGCTCTATTCCCAGGAAGTATGAAAGAGGTCTAGGCACAAGTGCTGAGGCTTGGGTGGCCCTGGATAATGGACAGCAGCTCCTCTGGTCCAGCTCCCTTTGGCTTTCCCCCCTTGGGGGCATCGAGAATGTCACACAGTCTCCAAATCACTAGCAGCGCCCTCTCCCGAGGTTGGGGCCTTTGCTCTGGGGGGAAGCCTCACTGTTTCACAAAAATGCCATTGGGTTTTTGGGGTACCACTAATTGACCTGGGACCCACCTCCCTCAGAAGCACCAAGGCTGAGGGGACAGGTTTAATGATAGCTTTTGTTAGGGAGTCTCCTGAGGTATGTACTTAGCACTCTGTTCTGCTGGCTGTATTTCACTGAAAATTTCAAAGCCCGTAAGGAGGTCCCTTTGCTTTCATCACCATAATAACAGCAATCCTCACACAGACACCTTTTATCCTGAAGCCTTTTAAAATGCATTCCTGGGTCTGAATTCCAAAGGCATCTGCTGCCTTGCTCAGACTACAACCGGGAGGACTTGAGAGCCAAAGCCTGTTGGACGTTTTTCTTGTTTTTAATGTACACTTGCTGGTTTCAGAAAGAAAGGAAGGAATTAATTGATTGCTTGATTCAGTAAAGAGACATCTACTTTAAGGCAGATATGCTAAAAATCAAAGGCAAGGCCTCATAAAAAGAGGAGGCAAATTTACAAATAATCGGTGCTATGATTGGCTTCAGTGTTAAATTTAGCTTCAGGCTTCTTGATATATGCCATACTTTACATAATTTTCGTTGTAGGACAAAGTAATACTTAATAACTCTCCAGGAGGCCAAGTTACTTTCTTCATTTTAAATTCTAAAAGAAACATTGCTAGCTCATGACTTCCTGAAGGAGACCCAGATTGACATCACAGGCAAGGTCCACCACTGAACCACAGTTGTCTTCACCCAGCCTTTTTTATTTTATATTGCCAAAATAAAAGACGAAAATACAATCCTGGATAATAATTGCGTGAATGAATGTCTGAAAGGGGATCTGAGTTGGTGAGTTAGTGAGATCCAGATGCGAAACTTGCTGGTGATGCAACTTTGGAACTTGATAGAGGGATTCTAAATAGAGATGATAAGAGAGCGAGGGAGGCCTTGTCTTCTCTAAATAGTCCTTGTCTAAGGCTGGCTTTGGGAGGAGTCAGACCGCAGCCAAGTTTAGGAGTAATTTCAGAAGACACTCTGTGTCGTGTCACAGGTAAACTACCAGTTTGACAGATGGCAGGTTGACATCTGATCCTGGAAGCTGAAAGACAAGCCAGCCTTCTGATCTGGAGAGATACCAGGACCTACCTGCAGGGCAGCAGACCTAGACACCAACTTTGGGCAGAAGCAAACCCCTTCAAGAAAACTCATGTCGCTTATACAAGTGACAGTACTAAATAGGAGAAAATTTTTAAGAAGTTTCACATAAGTACTAAAATTTCAAATTCACTTGGAGTCAGATTTTAAGAGCCTTAAAATTAAGTTACTGTAATGACATTAGAACTGCAAGATGTGGAAATGTGTCTCTTTAACCACGTGAAGTGTGATCTGCATGTCCAAAACTGATTTAAAAGCTTGAGTGTTTCTTTCCCATCGCAAGCTTTTTGGAATTAGAAGACTTTGCAATTCTGAGTTCTTGCTGAATTTTGCATGGCGTGAAAAATGAGAATGTGTTTCCCAGCCTATGTTTTCACTATGGACTAATGTTCTTATTTCTGGGACCATCTCTCAGGACAAGGCCTTGAACCCAAGCACTCATACTGAATGTACCATAGGACAGGAACAGGCATGTATGTCTTCAGCTCACCCATAGACAGGAAACCCCTTCAGCTCACCCATAGACAGGATCTTAAATGTTTGTGACAGTCACCTTCTTCTCTGATCTGTTCTTTTAAAATATTAGTAAGCATTCAGTAATTCTTTGATAAACAAATGCAATATAGTCTTATTTTAGAGAAATGAAGACATATGTTGCCCATAAAACCATCAAAAGAAAACCAAAGTCAATATTTGGGTGTGTTGCTTCCATATCCTAAATTATTTAAAAAAAAAATCCTTAAAAACATCTTTAGCATGACTGCATAGTATTCCACAATAAGAACATTGCAATCGATAACTAACTTTCTAAGTTGTTTCTAGACATATGGATTGTATTAAAGCTGTAGTATTGTATAGATTTGCCCCTTGCCACTCATTTTTCCAAATCAAATTAATGTGGCTTGGCTAAAGAAAGTATTGAGAAATTCATTCTCAACATATTCAGGAAAACTACTGTCTCCTTACTTGGGGTCATAAAGAGATCCTATGGAGCTTGTTTCATCCTGCCTAGTAAGACTGGTTAGGGGTCAGGCCTCCTATTATTCACCCTGAATGGCTTCCCATGGCATTTGTTTGCAGGTAGGTGCGGGTAGGGGCTCTCTGCCAGGTTCCCCAGCCTTGGCTCCCTGGTTTCAGCCACTGTAAGCACGCACATATCCACACCCTCAAGTGGGTTTCTCTTTGCACAT